GTATAATATTGGTATTTTATAAAATGCCTAGGAATTCTATAAATCACCGGTCCATTTTTAAATAAGTGAATAATTATCTTTATAGATAAAAATGGAGAGTGAAAAATGTTATTACCTCATCAATCGAGAACTGCTGGTCTGATTTGGCTCAATTTTTTTTTAAAGATGTTCGTAATTGCCAGGAGTAGGTTTTTACGAAAGAAAATTTTAGGAAAATCCACCAGAAAAGTAGGAAATCTGGATGTAAAAAATACAACAGTGTATTATATATTGGTTGCTATTGGTTAATCAGGCACGTTTGTTGATTTGTTTTATTTTTTTTTTTTCAATATATAAACACAGCCATTCTCGATTGATGAGGTAACATATATTTTTCACTCTCTATTTTTATATATATAGATGAATTTTTGTGTGTAGTTTAGACCTATGGGAAGAAGAAAGGCTAATTTAAAAAGGGTTAAGTTTGGATTTTTCATTCATCGGATTTTAGTACGGCTAGGCTAGGTTAGGATTTTGTAATTATTGATTATATTAATCCACCGTAGGTGGTATTAAGTAAAAATTTCAAACTTGGTATTACTTTGATACTCCAGACTCAATGGTTAAATCATAAACTTACACGTATAAACAGCACGGCGTCCTCGATCTACCCCAGGTAAATTTCCTAGCTGATAATATAGCTACTGATGGGAACCAGCATTTTTATTCCGGGCAACGGAAAAGTTAAGATAAGTTTTGAACGCCATACACCGAATATTAAATAACGAATTGAACAACTTTTGAGTCATATAGAGTTGGTACATTCACCGGGCATCGAAGTGCACGGGATCGCCTAGTATAATATGTTTTTACATAAGTATTTTGTGTAATAACCAGGCATTTCATAAAACGACAGACAACAAATTGGAAAATTTGTAGAATAGTGAAATCAATAGGAACATCCGTTTCATTCTATCGTGATAATATTAAACCAAAGAAAATTAATTTTATTATTACAAGAAAACATTTATTTCAAAGTACGCTCATTTAATATTACAGAATATAAGTAATACATTCATACAAATTAAACAAAAAAATAATAACTTTATTTTGTATTGGTCTAGAGCCCTGCAACTATTAGATATTGTAGGGGTTACGGTTGTTAGGGTTAGAACGGTTGGTTTCGGCAACACGTGTATGTATGGCCAGGTTTTTGCCCCTATGGACCCGGGTGGTCACCCATCCGGGAACTAGTAGCAACGGCCGTTGCTTACTTTCAATCACGTTGAGTTATCGATTTCAGCCACTGCGTAGAGCTACAAATAGTAACTTTTATGGTAGTACAAAGTTTTTAATGATTGCACATTAGATGTCTAGAGAGTAGAGAGCCATTGTAATGGATGTGTTAAAATTTAATTTTAATGATATAAAATCATTGTACTTATAACGATTCTGAGCGAAGACTGTCTGTCAGATTATAATATTACTAAGTTAATGTAAGATATTATTGATATTATCCACGCATGACATTTTGTTAAATCCTGAAATGTGAAAAGACCAGTTATATGACTATATGGTGACGAATTAATTATTAATTAATTAATTATCACATAATTATCTCTCGACAGTCGATATTTCATATTAAATTTAACGATATTACAGATTAGTGATAACTAATTATATTCGTCAAATTCAAACAATTTAGTAGATTGTCGGCTGTATTTGGTTTTATGTAGAATTCTTAAACATTTTAGAAAATACCATTAATGTTCAGATTACCTCTAACATATAATTAGTAAATACATAATTAATGGCCTTGAATCTAGACTGAAGTTAAGTTCAACACAACTAAAGATGAGGATATATTATATTACGATATGTAGGACGTTATGTGTGTAGCAGTGAGTGGGTCGCGGGTCGCGCAGTAGTAAGTATGTACATTGTACAATTTAATACGGCTGAAAGCCCGAAATTGAAAAGTAAATTACCTGCAAGTGGTTACAACAGTGTAATATAAATACAAGAAGTTAATGAGACAAGTTAATCGGTTTTTTTTAAATGCTGTTATAAAGCGCAGATAAATTTTAATGAAATCGAAAACATTTATTAGCTATTTGTATTCAGCAATATATTATCTCCACGGTTTGTGCGTGGAAAATAATTTCCTATTTATTATTACAACCTATCTGGGTGGAGAGGCATCGAAAACATAAAATTATGACTAGGTCGAGGAAATAATATTGTTCATGTAGTAAATCAATTATCAACAGTCTCAAGGGATGTGTGCCTACAATATGTCGTCTTATCACGTTCGAAAAGTGATGAAATATTCCAGAATATGGGATAATACGGACAGTATCATTAAAAGTGTCCGTTATAGACAGGATTTAGCATTATTTTGGTCAAACTCACATAGGCACCGCTACCACCTACGTATCTATCTAATGAAAATATTGTACATTCAATTTATGGAAAAAAAATGCATTCGTACATCATACAATAGGTACCTATGTTAAAATAGTTCTCAGTTCCTCTACGTGAAAGTAGTGACACAGTTGCGGGTATGTAATATTGATATACATGCAATTAAATTTGATTTAGAAATAATATTGTTTTAAATTTTGAAGGTAATGGGTACAAAATATGTTACTGTCCGATATAGACAGGTCGAAATACATTGGAATACCTATATTTTTGTCCGGACTTTAACATTTTGTCCGTTGGGAGAGGTGTGCATTACAGGTGTCCCTTAGCTATAAAATTTGAACATTTTATAATTTTTTAACTAAAAAATTACTATTAAATTTCGAATGTGATAAATTTTGTTAAAATTTGAACTTTGAATGATTATAAAAAGAATTGTGCCGATGTGTTTTTAATATTTTTCAACTGCTATTGTAATAATATATCAGGAGCCTCGAATTATATTTTCACGCTCTTTTACCCAACAAATAAAATTGTATTGATATTTATAGAAAAAAAAAACTAAAATTATTGAAAACTGACAATGTCCGTAAACAGCTCAAAAAGAGTCAAATTATTTTCAAGACTGTATGGTGTAGGTATAGAAAATGCTAGGTAATATAAACATTCAGTGAAATTTTCAAATATCTACAGTCATTCGTTTTTTAATTACAATAAAATAAGATTACATGAGAAATCGAGTGAATATGAAATGTTGTAAAAATATGAATTTCAAACGCTCATAAAAATGTAATTTGAGGTTCTTGTAGACGTTTTTTTTGATAAAGGTAGACAAACTTATGAAAAATCTTGTATTAAATTTTTAAGTTAAGTTAATTGTTGCTGAAAACATCGAATTTAAAACTGTAATTGGGTGTATAAAATATTAAAATATAATAATATCCGTTTAATGTTTCAAGTACCACGATTAATATTTTTAAATTAAAAGATATACCTACCTAAAATTGTTATTTCTCTTTTAAATAATGAATTAATATTAAAATTAAAATGTACGAATCTTAGAATCAAAATAAAAATTTGATGACAATTTCAAATATGTAAGTAACGTTATTCGTTTTTTAGTTGGACCAAAAAAAAAATATCAATTTTGTCAAATAGGTATTGCGCTTTTTCACTACATCAAAATGCGATGCGATGGTTGCCATGAAGTGAATTAAACGATCTGGTCAGAATCTAAAATATTATAGTATTATTTGGAATTTATTATAATTAAAAAATATCATACGTTCATATTATTATCGTCCTGCAATGTTGCGGGTACGGGACACTGCCACTACGGTCTGTTTATGATATTAATAAATTATGATGTATGTATATTGTGTATACGAACAAATAATAATAAAGTATTTGGCAACGTTAAATATTAGTATCTAATAACTAATAAGTAAACTTCCTGTACGGGTACCTAAACTATACACTATATTCATATTATATTGACAAAGACCGAGTAGACCGAGGGAAAATCACTGATATATCAAAACAAGAGATTGTAAATTCCAAAGATTATACATTTTTTTTTTACTTAAATTCTACCTGTACTGTGACCCGTAACATAAACTTTAAACTCCACCGACATTATTTTTTGTTCGGTTTGATGATTTTTACTTTTGAATCGTAAGTTGAAATTAAATTTTATTAATTATGACACACATTTGTCTTCCCAATTTAAGGCTGAAATGTATTAAGTACACAACTCGTCCAATGTTATATACTTATCTTTTAATAGTGTAAATGTTTGGTTTTGTTTTATACCATCGTTGTAGATTAAGATAGTTATTCATTAATATTAACTGATAAAGCGTAAAATACTAAATATAAATTTGTATCTATCAGTGTGCTTATAAATTTAGATTCAGAATGGAAATTGTAACCGGTAATAGTAGATACTATTTTATTAGTAACTAACTAACTATATGCCCTGATGGCGATTATAATTTATTATATTATTATGTATTATAATTATTTGGATATGAAAATATAATTTATTAAATGTAAAATGATCAGTTGGAATAAATTCCTGGAGACGAAAATAATTGAGTTTTTTGAAATTCTGTAGGTAGTTGGAAACGAATGGGACCCGTATAATGGTAGTAGGTATATACGCTGTTGTATATAATATATATATATAGACAGTATAAAGAAGTTAATAAAACGTAAAAATAACGATGACGCCGAACAAAGAAAGCTTATCCACTGTGCATACACCCGAAACACGTTACCCAGCTCATACCGCGGGACGATTGCAACCTAAAGGACCAACTATTGACATTTTTCTGGGGGGGCTAAAATCGAATCAGCAGCACAAACATTGATATAGTTAATATTTTAAACTAAAATATGATTAAAAAAATGTGATGAAGGGTACGGATAAGACTGTGTGGGCTTACCCCCCCAACTTCCCCCTTAAATGCACCTATTCCTCTACCCAGATCAGCCATCTGAGGAGAAAAATAAACAAATGGAAAACTCGGCGGAATCGTTTCACATTATTCTTCTGCCGGGACACATATTTATGAAATTGTTAAATTATTGTACCTTTATGCGTAGGTGGCAGTGGCGGTGGTGGATGCGGGAAGGGTTGTTGAGTGGGATGATGACTGCAGGTGGGTGTGAGTCCCGGTTACTCTGGCGGCGGGTGCGTGCGCACCATATAGACAGTCAGTGGGTGTTTGGCCGGCGGGTGAGGGGTAGCGATCGCGCTGGGGGATGCGGACAAAGGGTGCGGCCACCCCAACCCGCCAGTCAAGGGTTCGTGCGTTCCCATAGGACCATCCAGGCTTTTGGGCGACAACGAAGCGACTAACGCCCGTCTGCCAGAAGCTGTGATCAGTCCCAGCAACCCAGAAATCTTCAGTCGACAAACGACTGCCAAGCTGTGCCATCGTCAAGCGGTCCACACCATCGGTCGAAACTCTGACGACGGATCACGGTAATATGACTTATAATTATTATTATTATTACTATTATCGACTTTATTTCTATATAATAAGAATATATAAAATGAAATTATAAATTACTGTAATATTAAAATATTATATTATGTTTGATTTTTACACCGTTTATGCAATAATTAAGCTATGAGTAGTTGACTTTACTCTTAAGTCAAAAATACTTTTAAAAAAAATGTATGTGAACAAATAACTGAGCAATATTTATGACTTAAGAGTTATTTATTGTTTTTTCTAGTCGTTATTGTAATATGATACATGTAGGTCATTATAATATCTCATTCTTGAGTATATATATCATTATATGTAGAGGTAGGAATATAAGTATGTATTATTTTAAATTATTTATACAATAATACAGTAATACCTGTATTAATTTAGTAGTAAATACTCAAATATAAATAAATAGTTTTTTTTCCCTTATACTTTTAGTGAAAATAATAATAATATGATATATTATTATATTGTACAGAAAGTTTCATTTAAAATTGCAATTCTTTTTAAAATACAACAATAAAAAATTATGTGTTAAAAAAAATTAATTACTAATTATTGTATAGCAATTTTACCAATCTATTTGAATTTATTAAAAATATACAATTAGGTATAGAACAATATATCATGTACTAATAATAATATTATCGTAAAAAGTTTAATTATAATAATATATTGTACAGAAATTATAAAATGATTGATGATAATTTATTAGAAATATTTACTTAAGCAAATTATATTAAAATACATATTTTTGGGAGACGGCTTAACATTTCAAAAATTCTGTGTATTTTATATATCTATTTTATTGTTAGTATTTTGAAATTTTCATTTTCATTTAGCATTAAATAAAAAAATCTTTTTCACCTATACTTTTTTATCTATGAAAATGTTTCGTAGAGTATTTTAGTTGATATTTTCACTAATTTGAATACATAAATATGTTTTAATATTACAAATTTAGTATTTTAAAAATGTAAACTAAAATAATAATTTATATCTTTAGGTAATTTTATCCATATTTTAATAATATGTAGCTTTAAAAACTTATTTTCCTGAATAATTAAAGTTGTATGATATAGGTATCTGAATAGCGAAAAAAAAAACATGTAATAATTGTAAATTCAATATACAGTCATCATTCAAAATACAATTTAAATATAAATCTAAAAATTATAATGAAAAAAGAACTATACTTGATTATTAATGTTTTTACTTAATTTCGCTACATAAGACTAAATGAGTCAGAGTAAATAAAGTGATAAGTTTAGATTTTATTTGAACAGTCGTGATTGACTCGGTTATAAAAGCCACCGATTAGTAGCATTTTAATATTATAATATTATAATTTATTGCCAATATCTATTACGATATTTGGATAAAATATTTATGTATTTTATGAAGAATGTTTTTGTTTTAAGCTAAGCAAAAATTATATTTGATTTTCGTAAAACTTGTGTCATTATGTTAAAGGTTGTTATAAAATATACATAAATCAATACGTTGAATATTTCCCTTAAATGTTTCAAATATTATACACTTAACATAATTAACTTAGTTTTTTTTGTATTTGCTGATGTCATAATATATTTTCAAAAATATCAAAAGTAATAATACATTATTTAGTAGGTAGGAATTAATTCCGTAGAAATGTTAAAAGGAGACACTTTTAATATTATAAATTTAAATTGTGTCTATAATTGTTTAAAAATACTAAAATTATTATTTTATTTAGAACTTGTATAATAATTTATGGTGTAAAACATAATCATATATATCAATAAACATATCTTCCAGGACGATATTATTCCCAAATCCTTATAAACATTATTACCTACACCCATCATCCGTCATCTAATATTACGGTGAATAGACAATTATTTTCCACCGTACGACGACAGTCTCCATAGAGACTAATTTCTATGTATGTGTATATTATTATTATCATACAATATTCAAATATTAGAGTATATAAACTGTTTTCGAAAATTTAAAATATTAATAATTTTTTGGTGGTAAAATAATTGAGGAATTGCTTGTGAAGTTACCGAGATTATTTGCATATTATATGGTACTCCTCGCACGACATACATTCGTAAATTTGTTTAATGTTTATGAATAACACGTATATTCGTATTGTTTTCAAAAGGGAAAAAAATTAAAAACAAAATATTTTTTGTTGCTTGTAAACTCCGCTCGTCGGTATGTGCGAGTTGAATAATAAAATTAAAGAGTATATATTATAATAATATTATTACGTATTATCCGCCTACCGAAGCTAAAGTATACCTAGGCCAGATTATTACAGGATACCAAGGTATATAATATTGTTATGTGCGAAACGAAAGTGGTTTAGTATATTATAATAGAGGCACGTCCAATGTGTTAAAAACCAACGACCCGTGCCCAATAAAAAATGAAAATAATATGTATAGTTAATAAAAAAAACACCCTAGCGAACCGACCCGTGAACAATAGCGGGCGCCGCGTAAATAATTAATTTCCAAAATTTTTTCATCCTGCATAAATTGACCAGTTGTTACGAGTGAAGACGAGCACGTCTGTTATAGCTGTCGATTATACTACGACTATAGGTATCTCCTAAACTATGGATCTTATAAAAAACGTGTGTCCAAAATATTATCGACACGCGTGTTTGAAGTCTATATATAGGTCGTGGAGTATAATAATATAATATTATAACTGACTATAATTTGTCTTAAAGTCGCCGCCACACTTTCGATATAAACTTGCCATAGTTTTTGTTTGTCAGTAAACTTCCCTGCTGCGTAAATTCCTACTATACGTTTTTTCATTATCGACTTTTCAATAGACTTTACTTGACTTTTGAAGGTCAACATTCCGATGACGCAAACCTATATATTATATTATGTGCAAAACAAAAGTAATATGATCGTGGCACCAGTAGACATTGTATTAGAACACGTCGAATTTGTTAAAAACCAACCACTCGTTCCCAATAAAAAAAAAAAAAATACAGTTTATAAAAAAAAACCAGTTCAACGACAAACGAAAACAGGCACCGCATAAACAATTAATTTCAAAAATTTTTTATCCTGAATAAATTGACCAGTTGTTATGAGTGAAGACGAGTACGTCTGTTATAGCTGTCGATTACATATTATGACTATAATAGATATCTCCTATACTATTATGGATCTTATAAAAACGCGTTTCCAAAATATTAGAGTAGAGTATAATATTATATTATAGTGACTATGATTTGTCTTAAAGTCGCCACAACACTTTCAGTATAAACTTGCCATAGTTTTTGTATGCCAGTAAACTTCCCTGCCATGTAAGTTCCTACTATACGTTTTTTCATTATCGACTTTTCGATATACTTTACTTGACTTTTGAAGGTCAATATTTCGATGACACAAACCTACATAATATATTATTATGCAAAACAAAAGTGAAATAATTTAGGCCCCAGTAGACATTGTAGTAGAACACGTCAAATTTGTTAAAAGCCAACGATCCGTTTCCAATAAAAAAAAATGAAAATAATAATAGTTAATAAAAAAAACCCCAGTTTAACGACAAACAAAAACGGGCGCCGCATAAATCATTAATTTAAAAATTTTTTTATTCTGAATAAATTGGCCAGTTATTGTCAAGAAGGCGTATGGCTGTAGATTATACAGGTAGGTATATCTCATATAATATATATGGGTCTTATAAAAAATACATGTGTTCAAAATATTGTCGACACTCGTTGAAGTGTGTCGAAGGGTATTATTATAGTGATTATATAAATTGTCTTAGCGTTTCAACCCTTATAAAGTCACCAACACTTTCAGTATACATTTTCCATAATCTTTATTTACAGTTTGCTCCGTAAATATACCTATTATACGTATTTTATCCAACGACTTTTCAAAAGATTTAACTCAAATTTTGAAGGTTAACATACCATTATGATGGTCCATACCGTGTCACGAGACGCATAATGACGCATAACGAATAACAATATAATAATATAAATGTATGATGACTGGCACGTACAATAATAATATTATTGTATTATTGTGTTATTCATTGTTGTCGTAGGTGTGAATTCACCAGTTTCCATTCTGGTTACATTATGACTACTATATTTATAACACCTAAAGCGCAAGTCGTCTTGTTTCTGAATTTTGAATTTTATTTAACCCCAGAAAAATATTGTTGAAATAATTTTAATTCCTATTTTATATTTTATATGTAGCCAGTGATATTATGTATGTACATATAGAATCCAGGTCAAAATATCCAACAAATAAGAATCCTGGTAAACAAACAAATGAAACAAAAAACACAATTAAAATCAAAATAATATGACTTTTAGCCATTTAAAAAAATTATAATGATTATTAGATTGCCGAAGTATGACTGTCAAACGTTTACCAATATAGACTTTAATATATTATTATTTTATGAAAAACAATTCTCTATATATAATATTATTAGATTACTGTAATTATTGTCACTTGGCAATCATATTTTGAAATTAATTACATTATATTTTCAATGTACCTATTATTTAAAATACATTTTTTGTCCTATATCCATCGGATATTTTCCCCCAAATGCTACAATATACACGGTGCACTATAATAAATACAATGGCATCCAAATCAAATGAAAAAGCAAATATACATTTTTCGATTATTTTTTTTTTTTTGACATAAATACAAGGCTTGAACTGGCTTTTGAGATTTAAAATCCACGGCTGATGTCTTTGACGAAAAATAATATTGGCGTACTTGATTGTCACAAACTCTTTACTTTATTAAGATACGATTGTCTATAATTTTCATATAGTACTCCCCAAGAGCTTGAAAGCTAACATAATATTTTAAGCAAACAAAATATATAATATTTTAATGGTATAAGAGTTTGGAGTAGGGTTTTAAACTGAATTACAAAATATCGTA